ACTTTCCAGGGCTCTTTACTGTACCCAACGCAGAGCTTGGGCTGCCTCCGCGTGATGCTGTGGACGTCAACCTCTGGGAAGAGGCCCGCATCTCTCAGACACACACCTGCAACAGACTCCCCGGGTTAGAAACTGCAGAGGACGTCTCAGTGGGCCCGAGGAGCAGGACGGGTGGGGCTGCTGCTGTGGTCTCCCTATCAGTGGTGAGTTACTGCTGTGCCACCACGAAGCTGGCAACGGGCCTGTTTCTAGTACCACTTTCCCAGCAAGCAGCCCTGGAGCAGCCATGTTAGAGGAGCAGCTCTCTCAGGCGGGCCTTCAGCTCAGCAAGCGCTCGCCATCTCCCACCAACTGAAACAGCGTCCCCTGCGGAGGGCTTTCCCTGCGAGTCCGGAATACAGAGCAGGTGTGGGCACTGCCCCTGCACTCGCATCCCTTGGTACCTTCGTGGTGCCAGAGCCCCATATAGATCCCCAAATCCAGGGATGCTCAAGTCCCTTGTATACAATGACACACCATTTGCACATAACCTACCTACACCGTCCCATGTAAGTCACCTCTAGATTAAGCATCGTGACTAGTAAAACGTAACTTTGTGTACACAGCTGTTGGACTGTGTCTTTAGGGAATAATGACAAGGAAAAGAAGGCTGCCTATTTGTCACCTTCTCTGCCCTGGATGTTTCTAGGGTGTAGGTACTCGAACCCAYAGATACCAAGGGCCAACTGTGGAAGCAGGGCTTGGTTTCAGGGCCTGGGGTTTCCCTTCAGCTGTTTCTGACAGCAGTCCTGCCTGGGAGGCTTACTGCTGAGCCCAGATGGTGACTTTCCTGGGAGACAGGATGTTGAAACCTCTGCAGAGCTTGCACAGACCAGGACTGAGCTGAACAGCAGAGGCCTGGGCCGGCAGCCGCCTCGTTCACCTGACACTCCCTCCCCATCCAGTGCCAGACACCTGAATAGGGAGCTACAGGCCACCTCCACCTACGGGGGACAGTCACCTAGAGCTCCACCTCACTGTCAGAGGCCTTACCGTTGCTCTCSATGTGCCCGCTGGCCCGATGGCCACCCTCAGTCCTGACCACAGTTTCTTGCCGGTCAGAAAGGGTCCCCTGAGAAGAGAGGTAGCTTGGAACATCTGGGGGCACAATGGTTTCATCTGCAAGGAGACAAGACAATGAGGCATCAGGGTTCAGCCAGGACAGGCGCAGATGCGCATTCACCCTCAGGCCCCAGACAGGGTCCCCGGCAACAGCCATCGGGGCTGCCCAGAGACCAAGTGGAGTCGGTGCAGGTGGAGGCCCTCCCAGACCAGAGCCGAACCTGCGCCCAGATCAAAAGCATGTGAGACCACAAAAGACGGGAAGAGGGACAGGAAGGGAGACAGAACTAACCACAGCACTGTGAGGTGTCAGAGACAGTCCACCTCCGCTTATGAGGACGTCAGCAGGAAGTTCTTTTTTTTTTTTTAGTTGTCAATAGACCTTTATTTTATTTATTTATATGCTGTGCTGAGGATCGAACCCTGTGCCTCACTCTTGCCAGGCAACTGTGCTACCGCTGAGCCCCAACCCCAGCCCCAAGGCAGTTCCATTTCTGGCTCTGCCCTGAGTATGAACCCAGTGTCCGCAGGACCGAGGCTTCAGCTCTCCAGAACCACATTCCCAGAGGTCCTGAGTTCCCAGAGCTCGGGAGCGCTTGACGAAGAGTGTGGACCTGGCTTCTCCTGCCTGGAAAGGGGCGGCCACGGTGCCCACCTGTGTTGGTGACGCTGTACTCCTCGCTCTTCTTCCTGGTCTGGTAGATGATGCACACCCACACCAGCGACGTCAGGACGATGCTGCACACCACGGCGATGGTGAAGATGCCCACGGTGGTCCCGTCCTTCCTGCAGCCAGGCGTGGGCAAGATGCTCAGCTGGCTGTGCGCGCGCTCGGTGCCCAGCGTGTTGGACATCTCGCAGGTGTACTGGCCTGCATCCTCCACCACCACGTTCTGCACCACCAGCAGCTGGTTGCCCGGGGTGAAGTGGTGCCTGTCGGTGAGGCTCAGGGGGCGGTTCCCCTTGAGCCAGGTGATGCGGGGGGAGGGGCTGCCGGTCGCTTTGCACTGGAGGGCCACCGTCTCCCCCACAGACACCACGCGGTCTTCCAAGGGTACCACCAAGGACGGGGTCTCTGCAAGAGATCAAGAGATAGCACGCTCACTCTGGGGCCTCAGTGCTGTGGGTCTGCTGGGTTCTCTAGACATGCCCAATCCCACCTGAGGGCTTCTATCAGAGCGGCAAGCTTTTCAGAAGATGGCTGATCTCTGGTCATAAAGGCTCCTGTTCCCAAACTGTCCTGTGTCCCTGTTCTCGACTAAGACCACACCCCTCCTGCATGCTCTTYGGTCACCAGTTGCTCAAGGCTCTGGCATTGCACTGGCCTTTAGAGATAGGAGCCAGGGTGGTGGCCCACACCTGTCATCCCAGCAGCTTGGGAGGCTGAGGTAGGAGGATCTCGAGTCCAAAGCCAGCCTCCACAACTTAGCAAGGCCCTAAGCAACTCAGTGAGATCCTGTCTCTAAATAAAATACAATGGGGAATGGGGCTCAGTGGTCAAGTGCCCCTGGGTTCAATCCCCAGTACCAAAACAAATTTATTTTTAAAAAAGAGGAAAAAAATCCTAAAAGCAGCCTCAAATTCCAAACAGTAGCAACGCCTTCCTGTAACCCCCAGGGTTCACAGAGCAATTCCGCAGGCCTTCCCCTCAGTGCCGTTTGAAACCCCTACACACATGCGCGCGCACACACACAGAGTACACCAAGGGTCGAACCTAAGACAGTCAGGGTGGCATTCGCTGACACAGAGCCTGCCGAGTTCTGGGCGGTGCAGCTGTAAACCCCCATGTCATCTATTTTCACATTAGTGATGAAAAACACGTCGTCGTCTGGCATGACATGCATGCGACGCTCCCGAGCCGCAGGGAAGTCTGTGCCTCCGTCCTTTTGCCAGGCAATCTGGGGGTTGGGGTGGCCGGTGGCCGCACACTCAAGGCGAGCCATGGTACCAGTCCGGATGGCGATGTCCCGGGGCATTTTGGTAAATGATGGCAGCACTGGAAAACGCACACAAAGGGGGAGGTCAGGGGACAGCTGACTGCAGATGCAGGAACGCCTCTGGGGAAGAGACCCCCAGTGTGCGAGGGCCACACTGCTGAGCACGCCCAGGCAGAAGCACTCGGCTCACTGGCTCAGGCTCAGCAAACACTGGGGCGCCAGAGTCAGTGTYCWGCTGCACGGCAGGCATCACCACRCTTCCTGTCCAAGCTGCTCTGGTCAGCCAGGTGCCATGGCCCACGCCTGTCATCCCAGCAGCTCAGGAGGCTGAGGCAGGAGGATCGTGTTCAAAGCCAGCCTCAGCAACTTAGCGAGGCCCTAAGCAACTCAGTGAGACCCTGTCTCTAAATAAAATATAGGAAAGGGCTGGGATGTGGGTACGCACCCCCGGACCTCTTTTACCTGGTGTAAATAACAACTGCCCTGGCAGAGAGTCTCTTAGTGCCCGAGTCTTGAGGGGGCAGTGAGGCCCCTCTCAGAATACGCCAAGACAACCCTGTGGGTGTGGGCAAGTTTGTTCTGTGGTCTGCGGGGCTGACTGAACGCAGCCCACCGGCACTTCTGATGATCCACGAGCCAACTCTGTCACTGGCACTTTAATGATCAGAAACATCTCTCCGGGTTCCCAGGGTGTGGGGAGGTGCCCACTCACGCTCCTCCCGTCCCCCTCCACACACAGCAGCCCTGAGGAGAGCCGCTCGGACACACTGGTTCCTGAGTCCAGGACCTCGTCCCACCCTCCCCACACCTGTCCTGCTCTCTGCTGTCCTGAGGGGTGGGGACCTGTCCCTGTCCAGGCTGGCCTGTGCCTCCACAGCTGTGCCACCCACTTAGGGCACAGCTTCCCCAGGGTCTGGGATGCGGGACCTAGAAACTGGAAGTTCAAGGCTCAGCTCTGCCGCTCACCCCGCCTCCCGACAGTCACCCACAGCCCAGGGAGAGGGTGCTTTAACCTGCAGCACCTGCCCCGGGCAAGCCCAGGGGACAGTGCGGTCTGATGGCAGGTCTGCCTCCGTCCACTCTGAGGTGGGCAGCCATCGGGGCGGGGTGCCTGGGAGAGACCAACAGGGGCACCTACCGTTCACCGTGAGCCGGGCCTTGTTAGAGTAGGTGGAGCCAAAGTGGTTGGTGATGACACACTG